ACTTAAACCACACTCAACAACTAACTGACAGGGAGTACTCAGTAACACAACGAATAGTAGATGAACTAGCAAACACAGAGAAGTTAGAACAACGAACTGGCAACAGAAGAGGGAAAGGGAGAACAGTGAAGAATGTTAAAGGGCTAGTTCACCCAAAAATGAAAATTCTGTTCCTTACATCAACACGGACATGCGTCAGCACTCGCATGCGTTGTTTACACGAAGCAGACGTGTGCGCATGCGTCGTGATACTTTCCAAAATGGAGGCAAGCCACATTCTATATTTCTTTACAGATATCATCTTACACGTTAATACAGGGGGCAGAATGGAAACATATGGATAGAAATGTTAACTGTAGAAAGACAGACAACACAGAAATGCATAGAACGCAGAGAATGTGTGAAGGCTATAGTCTCTTCTGCATCACTTACAGAAATGCTTAAATGTGTACATTTGTTTAAAAACTGATTTGTTGATTTTGGCAAATCTGTTTCTTCCAGACAGAAATTCATGTTCAGTGAAGCTCCTCCCACAAACCCTGCAGAATGAAACACACTGAAGATAACGAAGAACAAACAGGTTGGTGTTTATTCTTGATTCTTCATTCATGAGGCTGAAGTTTATAAAGCTTCAGGAAGATTTAGATTAAGATTTGTTGGAATAGGTCAAATCGTTAGAGCTGTTGAACAATCGTGCTGAAGCATCAGATAATAATGGACACTTTCTATAAACTGGGTACTTTTGTTTTCCATAACATTTCTGATAGATAATTGTGCAGTTGAACATATTTAATAATTCTCCCTATAGAGACTTGTGTTTATAATGTTTTCAAAATAATGAGTTGAAGATTAATGCATCTCATTCATGGAAAGTTTCAGGGACGTATAATTTATAAAAAATATCAAAAAGATCAACTTTATAACAATTGTCTATTTTCCACCGTTACATCAGGGTTCACTTTTATGTTCGTTCATATTTCTGTTTTTTTTTTAGAGTTCCTGAAAATGAACCGTTTTTACTTTTATTTCAGAGTTTATTGAAGAAACCGCAGAGAATGAAGAACTGAGTAAAGTTGAGAAGAAAAATCACATCAGAACTGTTAAAAGAACTTTGGAAGACAAAGAAAAGAAGAGCCAAGAATCCGTCACCTGCACTCAGTGTGGAAAGAGTTTGACAAGCAAATATAGTCTTGATGTACGGATTCTCTCCAGTGTGAATGTTCATGTGAACAAGAGATTCAGTCAGTCAGGACATCTGAAAACACGAGAGGAGCCACTCTGGAGAGAAACTGTATCGCTGCACTGCATGTGGGAAGTGTTTCACTCGTTCATCTTCTCTATCAGTCATACAGAAAACAATCACAGCACTTTCAGGTCTAATGCTGCGTCCTCACCAAATGTGACAATGCATCATGCAATAAAATATAATCTGGATAAATCGGTCCTAACCAGACATTACAAGCGACATGACAAATAAACATTATCTAGAGTTTTCAGTCAATAAAGTTCTTCATCTTCATAACCAGCAGATTCAGATCAACTCAAAGATGGAGCTCCTCCCCAAAGAATAATGTCAAGAGCTTTATTCTTGTATTTTATTTTGCTTTGTGATATAAACAATATCATTGTGCTTTCTTATGAGTTTCATATTATATTCAGTTTTCTTATTATGCATATGTGTCACTTGTAGTTTGCTTACTCTTTCATGAAGGAAAATAGAAGTTTTTATAAACTAGAGTTTTCAGTCAATAAAGTTCTTCATCTTCATAACCAGCAGATTCAGATCAACTCAAAGATGGAGCTCCTCCCCAAAGAATAATGTCAAGAGCTTTATTCTTGTATTTTATTTTGCTTTGTGATATAAACAATATCATTGTGCTTTCTTATGAGTTTCATATTATATTCAGTTTTCTTATTATGCATATGTGTCACTTGTAGTTTGCTTACTCTTTCATGAAGGAAAATATAAGTTTTTATAAACTGTGTGTGTTCACTACTCACTGCTCTGTGTGTGTGTGTATACTACTCACTGCTCTGAGTGTGTGTGTGTGTGTGTGTGTGTGTGTGTGTTCACTACTCACTGCTCTGTGTGTGTGTGTGTGTGTCCACTACTCACTGCTCTGTGTGTGTGTGTCCACTACTCACTGCTCTGTGTGTGTGTGTCCACTACTCACTGCTCTGTGTGTGTGTGTCCACTACTCACTGCTCTGTGTGTGTGTGTCCACTACTCACTGCTCTGTGTGTGTGTGTCCACTACTCACTGCTCTGTGTGTGTGTGTCCACTACTCACTGCTCTGTGTGTGTGTGTCCACTACTCACTGCTCTGTGTGTGTGTGTCCACTACTCACTGCTCTGTGTGTGTGTGTCCACTACTCACTGCTCTGTGTGTGTGTGTCCACTACTCACTGCTCTGTGTGTGTGTGTCCACTACTCACTGCTCTGTGTGTGTGTGTCCACTACTCACTGCTCTGTGTGTGTGTGTCCACTACTCACTGCTCTGTGTGTGTGTGTCCACTACTCACTGCTCTGTGTGTGTGTGTCCACTACTCACTGCTCTGTGTGTGTGTGTCCACTACTCACTGCTCTGTGTGTGTGTGTCCACTACTCACTGCTCTGTGTGTGTGTGTCCACTACTCACTGCTCTGTGTGTGTGTGTCCACTACTCACTGCTCTGTGTGTGTGTGTCCACTACTCACTGCTCTGTGTGTGTGTGTCCACTACTCACTGCTCTGTGTGTGTGTGTCCACTACTCACTGCTCTGTGTGTGTGTGTCCACTACTCACTGCTCTGTGTGTGTGTGTCCACTACTCACTGCTCTGTGTGTGTGTGTCCACTACTCACTGCTCTGTGTGTGTGTGTCCACTACTCACTGCTCTGTGTGTGTGTGTCCACTACTCACTGCTCTGTGTGTGTGTGTCCACTACTCACTGCTCTGTGTGTGTGTGTCCACTACTCACTGCTCTGTGTGTGTGTGTCCACTACTCACTGCTCTGTGTGTGTGTGTCCACTACTCACTGCTCTGTGTGTGTGTGTCCACTACTCACTGCTCTGTGTGTGTGTGTCCACTACTCACTGCTCTGTGTGTGTGTGTCCACTACTCACTGCTCTGTGTGTGTGTGTCCACTACTCACTGCTCTGTGTGTGTGTGTCCACTACTCACTGCTCTGTGTGTGTGTGTCCACTACTCACTGCTCTGTGTGTGTGTGTCCACTACTCACTGCTCTGTGTGTGTGTGTCCACTACTCACTGCTCTGTGTGTGTGTGTCCACTACTCACTGCTCTGTGTGTGTGTGTCCACTACTCACTGCTCTGTGTGTGTGTGTCCACTACTCACTGCTCTGTGTGTGTGTGTCCACTACTCACTGCTCTGTGTGTGTGTGTCCACTACTCACTGCTCTGTGTGTGTGTGTCCACTACTCACTGCTCTGTGTGTGTGTGTCCACTACTCACTGCTCTGTGTGTGTGTGTCCACTACTCACTGCTCTGTGTGTGTGTGTCCACTACTCACTGCTCTGTGTGTGTGTGTCCACTACTCACTGCTCTGTGTGTGTGTGTCCACTACTCACTGCTCTGTGTGTGTGTGTCCACTACTCACTGCTCTGTGTGTGTGTGTCCACTACTCACTGCTCTGTGTGTGTGTGTCCACTACTCACTGCTCTGTGTGTGTGTGTCCACTACTCACTGCTCTGTGTGTGTGTGTCCACTACTCACTGCTCTGTGTGTGTGTGTCCACTACTCACTGCTCTGTGTGTGTGTGTCCACTACTCACTGCTCTGTGTGTGTGTGTCCACTACTCACTGCTCTGTGTGTGTGTGTCCACTACTCACTGCTCTGTGTGTGTGTGTCCACTACTCACTGCTCTGTGTGTGTGTGTCCACTACTCACTGCTCTGTGTGTGTGTGTCCACTACTCACTGCTCTGTGTGTGTGTGTCCACTACTCACTGCTCTGTGTGTGTGTGTCCACTACTCACTGCTCTGTGTGTGTGTGTCCACTACTCACTGCTCTGTGTGTGTGTGTCCACTACTCACTGCTCTGTGTGTGTGTGTCCACTACTCACTGCTCTGTGTGTGTGTGTCCACTACTCACTGCTCTGTGTGTGTGTGTCCACTACTCACTGCTCTGTGTGTGTGTGTCCACTACTCACTGCTCTGTGTGTGTGTGTCCACTACTCACTGCTCTGTGTGTGTGTGTCCACTACTCACTGCTCTGTGTGTGTGTGTCCACTACTCACTGCTCTGTGTGTGTGTGTCCACTACTCACTGCTCTGTGTGTGTGTGTCCACTACTCACTGCTCTGTGTGTGTGTGTGTGTGTCCACTACTCACTGCTCTGTGTGTGTGTGTCCACTACTCACTGCTGTGTGTGTGTGTCCACTACTCACTGTTGTGTGTGTGTGTGTGTGTTCACTACTCACTGCTCTGTGTGTGTATGTGTTCACTACTCACTGCTCTGTGTGTGTGTATGTGTGTGTGTTCACTACTCACTGCTGTGTGTGTGTGTGTGTGTGTTCACTACTCATTGCTCTGTGTGTGTTCACTACTCACTGCATGGTCTGTGGCAGACATTTCTTCATGTCAGGACAACAATTCAATAAACAAGAAATAAATATTAAATGACTTAAATAGTAGTCTATTTCGCTAACAAAAATGGTTCCAAACAAAGCCGTGTTGATCATCTCTGCAGAAACACACAGCACTGTTCATAAAAACAGCTTCTTACTTCATTCCTGAATCAGTCGTTTTGAGAGAATCAATTGAATAAATGACTCGGCGACTCACTAATTAAGACAGTGGTTTGCCGCCACCTACTGGTAATTTTAGTTTCGTATTTAAAATCATCATTCAGTTTTTTTTCCCCTCCTTTTGATATTTCTATATTCCAGTTTTTACATTTAAAATATTAATCTCATAACATTATTAATGCAATTTGTAAGTGCAGTGTAAATGCATGTACAAGTGCTAGAAATATAAAATAAGTGTATAGAACCCTGCATGTATAATTAGGTCTTTACTTGTTTTTTTTTCTCTTTAATAAGTGTATCCCCTGCTCGGACACATACCTGGATGTCTCTGGGCTAAACAGTAGAAACAGTACAATGGTTTCCTTCAGCACAAAGTATTTAAAGAAAGATCAGAAACACAAAGTGCAATATATATATATTTATTAAATATAAACGTGAGTAGGGTTTATTTTTTATCCTCCTCTTTCACCTCCGTCTGAAAATTAGATTGAAACAGAAACAAGAGAATAATTTGCACAGCAGCAGATCTGAAAGTGGATCGTATCACAGGACGAGCTAAACTCTGAACTACAGACTCACTGGGCCTCACTTACATAACGAACGTACGACAGAAAATTGGGCGTACGGTCATTTCTATGCAAAACTTAGAATTGATCAATATGGACGCGAGCGGTGGCTACGATCAAATCTCACGTCAGGTCTCAGCTCGTGTACACAAGTGTTTGAGTTACCTGTACTTGTGCGCAGCTGTAAATGTGGTGGAGAATTGTAGAATGACAGCATTTTGCTCATTTAGATTATTTTCCTGACCGACAACCGAAGCTCATTAATTGATCGTTAACCAGAAAGATTAGAATGTAATTGTTTTTCAGGGCTTTAGCTTTATATGTGTGAATAGCAGCATAAACAACAGACCATGAGGATTCATGCACAGACGCATCATGCAGCTGCAGCGCTTCTGTGAACGGAGAAAAACTGAAATTAAGTCAATAAAACAGGAATAAAATAAATAGGATCACACAAAATATATTTCTCTTAACAAAAGGAAAAAAAACTGTGCAACTAGTTCAGGCTACACTCATTTCTGTGACACTTAATGCATTATTTATTTTCTTTATATCTTTGATTAAATCCATCTGATCGCACCGGCGCCTCGCGCACACACACAACATTAGTTCTAGCGTTGCCTGACATTTCAGCCATTCATCATCAAATTTTTGCGCATGTGAAGGATTTTGCACGGATATTAGGACATGAGTGAATTATAAAGCCATGTTTAGGCTACATAATGAATAATAGTTGTGCAAACAAATGTTACAAATATGACAAAATGGAAACATTTGGATTCTTGTCGAATGAGACTGGCTCGTGAGCCCAATGCCGTTTCAGTTTTGCTTGACGTTTGTGTGCGGTTTATAATAAATGACATTAGCCTATAGTGTGATTTTTTAAAATATTTGTGGCTGCAGGAAATTAACACACAGGACCAACACATTTAGGTGGGATTTGTTATTTATTCCTTACAAGTTGTTAGGAATCTGTTTCTTTTCTTTTAGGCATGTGGGCCGGAAACCCCGGAATAAAACAAAATACATACAGTGCTGGAATATCTTCGGATTATGCAGAAAAATTGTTCACCATCAAAATAAAGATAATATGAAGTACAATATGTTGTCTCTTCTTGTGTGCAATAAGACACTAGTAATAATAATACGGTAGTGGCACTTTTCCCCCCTTGTGTGTCTTATGGTTCACACTAATACATCACTTCTACACAGACAGGCCTCGTCTGTACACGCAGTGCATTAGCTCAGCCACATTCCCACACAACACCAAGTGTTTTTCCTCCAAACTCACTTCATAACGTCAGTCGAGTGTTTGAAGTAAATCCTTCTGTGAGAGGATGTGGCTTCTTACACAGAATAAGGCACGCAACATTTCATAGTATTTAAGCAGTGATAAAGGCATTGCATTATTAATATACTTTATTTTAATGACAATTATAATAAGAACTCAGATAAACCGTATATTGCCGTAGTCGTGTGTTTATTAGTCACGCTGAATCAATGAAAGCAGTTGAATCTTCTGTTTATTCAGCTGCAGCGATAGCCATTTTCTGGGTTTCTTCTGCGAGGCGTATTTGGAGTTTCTCTGGCCTTCGGATGGAGATTTACTGCTGATCACAGAACCCTGCTTCACTCACTATGCTTAACCAACACCTGCAGAGGCCTGATGACTGTTTTTACACGTTACAGTGCGATCCAATCCTTGACTAAACATTTAGTTCAAATATCCACTTAATCTTTAATATCTGGACATTTCTTTACGACAGAAAAGCTACGGTCACTGTCATTTCTTGAATATGTGGACATTAAACATGCAAACTCAGAGCGAGGGCTTGAACGTTTATTTTGAAATCGTGATGAGCAGTTAGCATATTTAAAGATATTGATGCATTCTCATGAGTTGGCAAAGGCTCGTGAATGATTTACATCACAAATCTGATGCAAGGCCTCACAGGTTCCCAGATGAACATTATATACTCAAACCAAACTCACAGCATCTGCGGAGATATAGCTCGAGTCGCTAACAGTTTGTGCCGAGCGCTACGAACACAACACACATGCATGTAAATAATTACAATGCATGTTTCATTGAATCGTAGCCTTTGTGAATTAACAACAGCGTTATGCTTTATAACTTCTAAATAGGATTGATTTATCATGCGGTCTCAGAAAACTGTCTAATAATGCGTCACCGGCTTATTCTTGAAGGACCTCTCATTTCGCTGTCTGCAGCTATGTGCATTATCAACATTATAAATATTGTAACCTCCCTTAACCATCACCTGGTTACATATTATAGTTTAATATATAATTTCATAGCTGCTTATCTGGTCATTCATGTTCTGTAATACCGTTAAATGTAAAGGATTTGTTGTGGAGTGAAAGGAACTAAATAGGCTAAATAGTGTTTATGTTTGTAAAGGTTTCTTTATATTTAGAAGTATAAATTAATGTAATTCTTTGCAGTTGCAAGGTTAATGGGTGTTTGTGGAGTAAGATCAATTTCTCTTTAGCGAGATTACTTCCTCTTTTTGGCCGGGTTTTGTTTCTCCGTGTTGTAAACTCTAGGGTGAGGCTTCTAAACCGTGTGTTTTTAGGGGCGTGATATTCAAATGACGATTGTTTTCTGCCGCCACATTTATCAACATGCGATCATTCGTATGATGAGATTGGCGGCATACGAATGTTTCATGAATCACACGTGAACTCTGTCGTAAGTTGATTTGTGCGCACGGATCTGTGCTCGTTTCTACGTTAGACTGATAAATGAAGCCCACTGTTTCTACTTTAGCAAACAAGAGCAGCTGAATGAAAGAGCTCAAAAGCTTGATACTGATATTCAAGATGATTGTACTCTTACCTTAACGAGCTTCTGTGAAGAGGAGCTGCAGGACGGCTGTGAACATCAGAGATGACGTGTTAATGTGGAAAGGAATTGAGCTTTAGTTTTAAACATGTTTCTGACAGCAGATTCAGAGCTTCTGGATCAGAAGTGTGTGGGAGTGTGTTTGTGAGTGGGAGTGTGTGTTTGTGAGTGTGAGTGTTTTTGAGTGTGCGTGTGGGAATGTGAGAGTGTTTGTGAGTGTGAGTGTTTGTGAGTGTGGGAGTGTTTGTGAGTGTCCGTGTGGGAGTGTCAGTGTTTGTAAGTGTGAGTGTTTGTGAGTGTCAGTGTTTGTAAGTGTGAGTGTTTGTGAGTGTGAGTGTTTGTGAGTGTGCGTGTGGGAGTGTCAGTGTTTGTGAGTGTGAGTGGGAGTGTGGGAGTGTGAGTGTGAGTGTGCATGCGTGTGGGAGTGTGCATGCGTGTGGGAGTGCGCGTGAGAGTGTTTGTGTGCGTGTGTGTGCGCGTGTGGGAGTGCGTGTGCGGGAGTGCGAGTGCGTGTGTGGGAGTGTGCGTGCGTGCGGGAGTGTGAGTGCGTGCGGGAGTGTGAGTGTGCGTGTGAGTGTGCGTGTGAGTGTGGGAGTGTGTTTGTGAGTGAGTGCGGGAGTGTGTTTGTGAGTGTGAGTGCGGGAGTGTGTTTGTGAGTGTGAGTGCGGGAGTGTGTTTGTGAGTGTGAGTGCGGGAGTGTGTTTGTGAGTGTGAGTGCGGGAGTGTGTTTGTGAGTGTGAGTGCGGGAGTGTGTTTGTGAGTGTGAGTGCGGGAGTGTGTTTGTGAGTGTGAGTGCGGGAGTGTGTTTGTGAGTGTGAGTGCGGGAGTGTGTTTGTGAGTGTGAGTGCGGGAGTGTGTTTGTGAGTGTGAGTGCGGGAGTGTGTTTGTGAGTGTGAGTGCGGGAGTGTGTTTGTGAGTGTGAGTGCGGGAGTGTGTTTGTGAGTGTGAGTGCGGGAGTGTGTTTGTGAGTGTGAGTGCGGGAGTGTGTTTGTGAGTGTGAGTGCGGGAGTGTGTTTGTGAGTGTGAGTGCGGGAATGTGTTTGTGAGTGTGAGTGCGGGAGTGTGTTTGTGAGTGTGAGTGCGGGAGTGTGTTTGTGAGTGTGTGGGAGTGTGAGTGAGTTTTTGAGGGTGCGTGTGAGGGAGTGTGAGTGTGCGGGAGTGTGTGTGTGTGTGTGTGTGTGTGGGAGTGTGTTTGTGAGTGTGCGTGTGTGTGGGAGTGTGTTTGTGATTGTGTGCGTATATGTGTGAGTGTGCGTGTGAGTGCGAATATGTGTGCGTGTGCATGCGTGCGTGTGCGTGCGAGTGTGCAGGAGTGTACCTGTGCGCGAGCGGGAGTGTGAGGGAGTCTGAGTGTGCGTGTGCGGGAGTGTGTTTTTGAGTGTGCGTGGGAGTGTGTTTGTGTGTGTGCGCGTGTGCGCGTGTATGTGTGCATGTGCGCGTGTATGTGCGCGCGTGTATGTGCGTGTATGAGTGAGTGTGCGTGTGCTATTTGAATTGAGTGTGTGTATGTTTGTGAGTGTGAGTGAGTGAGTGTGTTTGTGAGAGTGTGTTTGTGTATGTTTGTGAGTGTGTGAGAGAGTGTATGTGCTATTTGAATTGAGTGCGTGTGTGTGTGTGTGTGTGTGAGAGTGCGTGTGCGTGTGTGAGCGAGTGTGTGTGAGTGAGCACTTTGGTCTGCAGGTGCAGTTGTAAAGTGCTTTTATTTATAAAGGAATGAATGAATGAGAGTATGAGTGAGAGAGTGAGTGAGTGAGTGAGAGAGCAAGAATGACAGAGTGAGTGTGTGTGAGTGAGAGTGTGTGTTTGTGTACCTGAGAGGACAGCCTCTCCTCCTCTCTCCTCTGCAGCTCCTCCTCACCCAGGAGAACAGATGTGGCTGCTTGAATGGCCTCCTCCCTGGCCTCCGTTCTCGAACCAGCGCTCATGAGGGGGAAATGGCGCTCCCCCAACACGACCTGGCAGGTGAACCTGAGAGACATGTTCATGTTAATGCCGTTTCACACTGAAATGTGAAAAAGCGAGTCAAATCACTGAAGAACATTGCTTTCACACTGAACGCAAAACGATTGATCGTATTCTGCCAATTCACGCCTGCCTACTAGGTGGCGTGGACCAACAATGCATTTTTCCTCAGATATGCATCTTGTATATGAATTTAACACCGTCCACTGCTCAATATTAAATTAATATAGCTAAATAAAGTTTGGTTCTATGCCAGAAACACAAATTATCTATAATGCTTACAAGAAAACATCTTGCAATTTAAATAGTAGTACAATTAGCATCAAGCCACATTTGAAAATTTATGTAATTAGTGAATTTGCTTAAAATCCACTTTAAACCATCATCGAGTGCTTGTAATAACTTCCAATTGTGATCTATAGTTGATTTTGATTCTGTAATAAGCAGACATGGACTCTTTGTATACGTTTAATAACGCCACACTGCCTATTATCATAAACATTCTTTATTGTTATAAAAATACCATGAGCTGCAAAACACATACAGAAAATATCGTCATAATTATGTCTATTTGCTTCGATATTTCATGTGTAGAAAAAAGTTGCACTCGATTGTTTTAATACGGAAGATCTAGAGAGTGAAGCGCTCTGACTGGACATGGACAGTGCTCTCCAGATCATAATTCAGTGGAGAATTTATATTAAGAACATGCGAGAATAAATCTGTTCTCAGATACCAAAGATAACAAGAACTCTGCAGCCACACTCTGTTCTCTCAGAATTGGCTCGGTGTGTGCATACTTCAGGTCTCGCGACGTTCACACAAACTTGCATCCGACACTTGGCTAGATAGAAATAAATGTTTTCAAATTAAACAGCGAATAGTGATATATCAAAGACAAGAGAAAGCCTCTTTACATTGCATACATCTGCGTGTAAATTCATCCAGATTAAATGTGGAGATTGCTTCATTCTTTCTTCTGTTGATTATGTGGTTTTAGTGGTTAGTCAGTCCACAGGGATCTCTTCATTCAAACAAATCACTCAAATCTGCAATACTGTACACTTTCTGGGAGTTGATTTTGTTCTGACTGCTATTTATAAGATCATAAGGTTTGCGACTGTCAAACGAGATTTCTGCATGTATTATTAACTTTATTTGATCATTTATAACCGTAACCGTCCAATTTAATCATGTAATTGTAGGTTTGCATTAATTAAATGATCAGTGTTTGCATTTCCCCGTGTATTTTTATTTATGCATTTTGTGAAAGATCTGTTGCTTACTTCAATATCTGTCTATAAGCAGCGCATGTATATTTTTATATTTTCTTTTGCATTAATCAGATAAAACAAATCTTTAAATGAGTCCTTTTACAGCCAGATTGGTTTTTAAACATGTTTCATGCAAACAAAGTTAACCATGTGTAAAATATTAAAATACGTTGTGAAAATGATAATGGAAAACTGACGTGTACACAACTGAGAAATGGATATGAAGATCAATCGCAGCCCATGCCTCACAAGGTAAATATTTCATTTTTTTTAAATCAATGTTATAAAAACATTTGAGAAATAAATAATTTGTACATTTAAATAATTGGTAAGGGAAAAGACATTGTGTAGCTGTGTGTACACACCAGGAGTTCAACTTTCATTTCATGAACAGTACGGTTTATTTCATTCATTCACCGGACCCAAACATATGCAAGTTATTATAGTAGTAATAATAGCAGCGTAGATCTTATTTGTATTAGAAGTGATATTATAAATCCTGTACACATAAGGTAATATTTGGATTTCTCCGGCTTTCTGCACTGGCGTTTAGCAAAACCGGAAGCATCTATGCACACACTCGCTAGACCGGAAATCCAAGATAGTGGATATATGCAACTAGCCCATACTCTTCTTCTGTGTTCGTTTACACTGGTTTGGGAAACAGCGCCACCACTCTTGCCTTTATGTGCAACAGCAGATGCTCTGGGCACGTGATCCAAGCTTAAATCTCATTGGACGGCCCATTTCATCACGGAGCGACGGGGAAAATAAAATAAAAACACAGTTCGACACACAGGACGAGGGCTGCGATGATAAACCGATGCAGAATCTATTCGTGGATCGATTCACAGATCTTCAGAATGCATGGTGATTCTCTCTGGAATGGAATCGGAGTGTAGATTTTAACAGCAAATGGCGCTCTACTGTAGCTTTTATCCGCACACTCAAATGCTCATGAAGAAGAGCGCTGAAGAGCTCGTGCGTTCGGCTGAATCTGTCACCTCAGCTCAGAATACTTTTATGACGCCATATTAATGTAAACAGCCCACTGCGAACACCCTTGTAATTCGCTTCAACCTTTTCCAATTTTATGAATGCTATTTTAGGTTCAAGTGTGTGTAAGGATTTGGAAACAAGCAGAGTACGGCTGTTTCTAAAGCATGCAGCGCCCTCTGCTGTTCAAAACAAAGTTCAGAATCGACTCGATAAAGAAATCGCGACGCATTTGGAAAATCTCAGAATCGATGCCGATTAATTTCTCGATTCACGATGCATCGATGTATTTCCCCAGCCCTAAGCTGCCTCATAGGGATCTATTGTTTTAATTCAAAAGTGTCATTGCGCCGAACATTCGCACCAATTTTTTGTGTTCAGTGTGAAAAGCCCTTTAGAGAGAACACAATAGGCGATTTTCCACCTTCAGGCCAGTGTGAACTAAGATGAACAACAGCCATGTTTCCACTGTCGGGCCAAAAGCGGGCGTGCTAGGGCCAGTCGCGTTCCCACCGTCACTTCCAGGGCTTGATCGTGCCTCGTCAGGACTTCCTCGGGGCCAACGGCCAGGGCTTTCTGGCCCGCCGATTACCTTAGGCCAAAGCGCGCCAGCTCGGGTTTGAGGAGTTTCTCTGTGCCTGGAGCGCATCAGCACCGCGAATCTTTTCATATAGTTAACAGCTATTACTACAGCATTAAAGACTTTAAAACAGACAGCGGCTATTTGCACTAAGAGTAAATAGTGATGGATGCCATTTACACTACTTATTGCATATAGTGGCAATTATCTGTACCTCAGTATTGTAGTACATTACAAAACAGTATGCAATAACATTTAATGTAAATTATAATTTTACTTCAAATTATTAAATGGATGCCACCTTATATTGGGACAATAAATCCTACCTGACCCTTTCAACTTATTTCCATCATTTTTATTGAAAATAAATGCCTTTCCAATTTGATATGAGATTTGAAAAAAAAAAAAAAAAAAAAAAAAAAAAAAGTTAACAAAAGGTGGGTTCGAACTCGGGTCGATCGCGTCAAAAAGCAAGCGCTTTTTTGTGAATACAGTTAAAAATAATTTTAGCTCAAAACTCACTCGACAGCAGCGAGTGTTTGAAATAACTTCTGTTTGAGAGCCGAGGAACATACAAGGCAGGCATATTTATAACCAAGGCAATATGCACACTAACCATTACCATGTAAACATGATAAATACAACCGCTTGAAGAAATCATATAGCCTATCACAATTATGTATTTATTTAGTAACATTTTACCTGTCAGTAAGTCTCGTCTCTATATACCCGACTGTCTGATGTTCATATTTAGCTTCACGCATGTCATAAAATATCATAATCATAGTTTTTGTTCGGGAACTCCCTTTGCTAATCAGGTTGTATTTTTGATGGAAAAATTATAGAAATTATCATTCTTTCTAAATGTGATGTATACGGTGACTGCAAACAGAAACGGATGCAATTGATTTGTATCCTCTTTCTTTTGAGAAATAACAGTAAATACCACTATTTCTGTGTGACTTTTTCCAATCCTGACAAAAGTAATTATGATCAATGTATCACTTATTGTAAAACATTTATGCTTTTGGATTTAAATATTTAAGTAAACAACGAAAAATGCAAACAAACTGCCACTTTTATCATGTTCACATATACAGTATACACACGCACACACACACACGCACACACACGCACGGTATAGAACATGCCAAATTTTCTCAAGGGGAAAAAAAAGACCTCAACTAATACTGTAAAATATACATGAGTAGGGGTATGCAATATATTGTCTGTGATAATGGTATATTTTTATTATTTAATTTATTTCAAATATCAGTATTCAACGTTTTATGATTAATAGATCAAAATATTATTTATGCATTTGTAACCGCAGGTTAAATGAATTAATGCGCTGCTTTAATTGATGCACACTAACCAACACACACACACACACACACACACAGAGATATAGTCAGATCACAGATTGCGCTGCGCACACACAACTTAGCCTAGATACTAGATTGCTACATTATATTCCTCAACATCGAGGTGGTAAAATCACTGCTTTTGAAGAAATTAATTGTTTGTAGAGAGACGTGCAGGTAACACACACAACCGTCATCTCTCTCTCTCTCTCGAGTAGGGTTGGGTATCGTTTGAATTTGATCAATCCCAATTCAGATTCTTCGATTCACAGTTTTGATTCCAATGTGATTAAATAATGATATCAAACATTTATCCCATCTCTCTTTTGCAAACCATTTCTTGGAGCTGAATACCATGAACAAAACTCAACAGGCTACATAAAAACTGGACTCTTTAAGAGCTGTTTGTGTGCAAAATAGAACTGCATGATTCTGGATAAATTGAGTTTTTTCTTTTTCCCTTCTTTTTTTCTCTCTCATGATTCTGAAGAAAAAACATTAGACGACTAAACAAAATCACGCGTAATTTATGAATGAATGATTAAATGACTCACTCAAGATGTACTTGTTTCATTACTGGATGAATCAGCGTTCTTGAACGAATCTCTTGTATGATTCAAAGACAAATACATTTTAGCAGCCCCTTTTCGCCACCTACCGGCGTAACAATGTAATCGATAAACCTTCATTTGACGTGTCAAATTACTTTCAAAAGGTGATTTACTCTATTTTAATCGCTACCATACACACTGTTTATATCTGAACTATAAACTTATCCCAGTACTTCTGTGATTTGAATGTTTGTAACAGAAATAATGATACTATGTGGTTGAAAAGACTGTGAGGTTGTTTCATTCATGACCGATGACAGCTGCTCTCTTCAGGTCAGCGCAGTGCGAACGCACATTTAAATGCTCAAATCACACTGGTGTGATCGTACGCTGCACAGATAAACCGATTGATCACAACATTGATCGCACACGTCAAAGGTTGAGGAATGAATCAGACGAATCATAGCAATTTAGGAATAGAATCACGTTGGTGTTTGAATCGTGTTCACGATCTTTAACGATCTATTAAATTTAATGATTTGTCATGTTGGTGGTGACACCTCTTGCAACATGTTTAGCTATCTCATATATTATACCAAGCTTTTTTGGCCTCTGATTGCAAATGTCAATGTAGCCAAACTTTGGAGCGCTTAGATTAGCGAGCAAGGTCCTCACAGATGAAGAAAAAAAGTGCATAGGAATCGATAGGCGGAATCGAAATTTTAATTTGACAACAAGTATCCGATTCCTGATCTTAAGTATCCGATTCTGGAATCGGAATCGACTTTCGATTCCCAAACCCTACTCTCGATCTATAATTAATTTAAATAAATGCTATAATTCATTCAAATAAATGTGATCTTACCACACTATTTCATCTGTGTCTGATTTGAAGTGGGCAGAATGCTAGAGCTAACGAACCGTAACTGACGAAAATAACTAACAGATCTTCTTTATGCACCAAGAGCTTGTAACACTCCAAAGAGAAAGGAACACCTGAAATCGCATCATATGACCCCTTTAACACACTCAGCAAAATATAATCTAAATTATCATTATCAATAAAATCCCAGAAAATAGAGATTTGTCGTCAATATCGCACACCCCTATATGAGTCAGTTGGTACTACATTACTACTGAAAATTAGCTAACACTTAAATTACTCTAAACCAAGTTTTTTTATAATAATAGTTACAATTAAATAATCATATTTCTACTCCAATTCGTTTAAACATTTAAATGGTGGCTGTCATAAAAATGTTTTAAAAATGATTTATTCAGACAAAATTAAACAGAGTAAATTAGTTAATATATTATATGCTGTATACATTTATCAAAATGCTCCTCTCTAGAGTTCATTTCTCTAGCTGACTAACGAGTTTGTCACCGAATGTTTTTTCTGAGGTAAATGTGACATTGTTTACAAGCGGTTATACCGACATCTTTCTGCGGTTGAAACACATGAGACAGGATGTGGATTTCGTTAAGTTGTACGCTCTCTTTTAACATACCTTCGAATGTTCATTCTTGTTTATTTTGTGCTGTAACTAGTATTAAAGCGGAGGAGACGATCAGTTCATGTGCGCTTTGCTTCTCTTGACCCGAGGCACTACAGTGATCGGTCACTCCACATTAAACAGCACCAAAACTGTGTTTGTTTGAATACTGTAATAAAATGGTAAGAATTCGAAATCGGAGATTGTTTCATATTAAAAGTCACTGATCACAAAGCTTATTGCGATTTATTGGATGGGAGGTGAGCAACAAAGTTCAGTTTATTAACTAAAAAAAGGCTAGACTAATCAATTCTTGGGATTCAAAAATCAATACGGTTTTGTTAAAAAAAAAATCGATTAAAATAGAGAAATCAATATTTTTTTTACCCAGCCGTAATGTGCAGGCTGTACATCAGGGACACTAAAAGCATTTACACATCAAGTGGAAATTGGTTATTTTTGCATTTTTCCAAGCAATTTAATTCTTCTGAAAGAAAGGTGAAGCCACATTACAGAATCTGGGCTGGATTTATTCATGAGAAAGACACTTGTGACACTTTAAACACTCCAGCATCGATATTTAACCCGTGATGTAAGATAAAAACATGTTACCATGAATCATGCACATCAATCATGCCCGAATCAAACCTTATTTATCATTTCACAATAAAAGAAAAACACGTAGTTCAGTCCTGCCAGCTTTCGTTTATTTGTGATTACAAGGTCAAAGCAACTCCATTAAGGCTTTAAAGTCCAAAGGCTTACAAAAAATACTGGTAAAATGTTTACATCACATTTCTATTACGAAATTACGCAATCTGAGGAGGTTTGAGCTGCTGCAGTTACAATATGAACACAGTCATTAATAAAGCAATATTCACAAGTTAACGACAAAATCAATGCTCATAGCTAAATTACCATAGCTTAAATTAACCTAAAACTAAAAACTTTGCAGTCTTTGTTTCGTTGCTTATAAAGTGTTTGAGGTTTCTTTCTCTTTTCACTCATATTTACTTGTTGTCGTTTTTTTAAACCAATAGCCTTCTTTTTTTATCATTTATTAATTAGCCTAACTCATTTATGAATAATTATTTATATTAATATTTTTCAGCATTGAGAATCATGAAATTTCACTAGTATCTGTATGACTTCTGAAATATTGACTTTGTATTAAAGAAATGCATAATTTAATAAGTCAACAAAAACTTGATTGCTTTAATTTGCAAAGCGTGACCAAGCAATGCTGAATTATAAACCGATGATAATTATTAACTACAGAATGGAGAATTCGCTCTTCTCACAACTCATTACCTCGTTTTAGTAAATCATAGCCACGGCCCACGATTTTACTAAATGAAAACAATTATGAATTCCAAATTAGCGGCTAGTTTATCTTATATTTTGTCCGCATGTCATGTGCTGGGCTCCGTACACTGGATAGCTCATTTAAGATGGCAAATTTCCATAGACACTGTACACATTGAATGCATTAATGCAGGCTAAACAAATTGAAAAAAAAAAAAAAAAAGTGATATAAAATACGTTCCGTTGCACTTCTGATGAAGGGCTGTCATGCATACACAGAATAGCAAAGAGAATAAAAAAGAAATTAAATTTAAAAAAAACTTGGATAATTTACTTTATTTTTAAATCGACATGTCCTGCATTTCTTAGTTCTAGTTTTTAATTTATAAAGTAAAAAATGTTGCCTTCAATAAATTTTGGTAGTTTGATAGTTGATAGTTTTAGGGGGGGCTGAAATGACGGACAAAAAAAAAACACCAATAATGTGATATTTAGCCCCTGGAAAACGAATTTTACCAAGGGAACCCAGCCAAACACATGGACTTTACTCCCCGGAAAATACGATTTTTACCTGGGGAACCTTTTTAGTAGCAATTGGATGGGTTTTGTTGTGACAACCTGGCAACCCCGCTTATTCAGCAGCACCATGACGAGTCTGAAAGCGAAGCTGTGAGGAATAAACCTACCGTGTTTTCAATGGCACCTGCTGTAAAAGCTGTATGAAGCTCCTAGTTCAGCTATAATTCCCCACAGCTCATCTGGAGTTTTTAAGTCTACTGAAACGATATTTTTGCAGTGTTTTATCAGCAGAATGAACCAAAATCATAAGCTAACAGATGTAAATCTTTCCCTCACAGCCTCACCTTAATTCTTGTTACAAATCAAAGATGGAGCTGCTGTGAATGAGGTATTATAAGACTTACCCAGAGGATACGTGATTATGACATACGTGAATGCAGAAATCTGATCAACAAAGGCACAGAGAAGAGACGGACACAAGATGAAAGCAAATAAATACACTATTATAATCATATACGCCGTGTCTGCAATCGTTAGATTTCAAACTCCTCATCAGATCACAATCAAGACGTTATTTCGGACACTCTCTGTAGTCTGAAAGTGAGGTTAGAGCTGAAATTTAAAATGTGTTCAATTTTAAGGCAGGCCAAAATACCTGCCCGCTGGCCCCGAGGAGACTCCATCAAACTCCAGAAGTGACAGTGGAAACGCGACCGGACCCAACACACACTCGTTTCGAGCCCACAGTGCAGTGAGACGAGCTCCAGATGCGTGTGTGTGTGTGTGTGCGCGTACATACCTCCGTGTGTGGGGGGGCACTATTTGCACGGTCTTCTTTAGACGTGCCACCTCCCCACGAGAGCTAGCGAGAGACTGGAGGGCAGGGAAGCAGTTTCTCAGCACACTTTCAAGCAGCGACGGCTGCTCTCCGATGGGCCTCTAGGACAGAGAGAAACTCTAGATCAGATCAGTCATGAGACACAGAGAATGAAGCGGACGGAAGGGTTCGAATGGGGGGGCGGTTACAGACAAGAATGCACACTCATTTTCAGACAACATCCCACTTAAAGTGTTCGTTCACTCCAAAATAAACATTCTATCATAAAATGGAAGACGACGAATTGAATAAAGTCATTATTTTTGTTTTCTTTGCACTCAAAGTATTCTCGTAGCTTTGCAAAATTGAAGTTGAGCCACCGATGTCCTTACTACATTTCTGGGTCTGGAAACATTTCAGTTGTGTTGCTGTCTATAGGAGGGTCAGAGAGCTCTCGGATTTCATCAGAAATATCTTAATTTGTGTTCTGAAGATGAACGGAGGTCTCGCGGGTTTGGAACGACACGAGGGCGAGTAATTAATGACAGAATTTTCATTTTGGGGTGAACTATCCCTTTAAGTGAACGTTTGGGGAAAAACATCTGGGCCCGTATTCACAAAACATCTTAAGGAGAAAAACTTACAAATAATGGGTGTGTCAGTCCTTAATTTAGGACTCCTACATATTTGCTCTAGGAGTATTTCACAAAGCATTTTAGCACTAAAACTAGCTCCTAAATCTGTGAAACGTTAAGAGGACTCCTGAGTCACTAAGACCAAGCCACAAATGATCCTAAAACAAACATTTTAGAAACATGCTGCATTTATTTGCACACATTTTCCCACACATGTTTTTTGGTTTTGAAGGTTATCCCAACTCCAGATTTTCCTTTGATTATATGCTTGTTCTCATTAAGCAGCTGGGCAAGAAATAACAGCGGTTCATGCGTCTAGCTTGGTTTTCTTTTACGTTTGCACGTCTCACTACCAGCCATGATTATTCTACTGTTAATTAAAAGGCTGTTTATATGCATATCAACTAATCGTTTAAAAGAAGCACACATGTACGAGGCTGATAGTTAGCTGAACATATACTTGTTTAATTAGTGACACTTAGCCTGCATTTTAAAATATCTATTTGTGACCCGTGCTAGCATTATGTAAGTGATTGCGCACGGTCTAATTTTGAGCTACAGGCAAAAAATAAAAAATAAAATAAAAATTTGGCTGAATTTGAGGCTTTCACATAAAGGAGTTAATTAAGTCCTCGTCTAGTGATCCCAATGCTCCAAAGAGTAATTAAACATCTAAAAGTCTCTTTATTTGTATGTTTTCTGAGAGGAGTACCTTTTCTTCACTCGCTGCCTCTCATCCGAAGCATACGCATAAAGACGGCGCTCTATCCCGATACACACATAATAAATATATTTAGCCTACTGTAAATCTGTGTAAGTATTCACACAAACATAATCTGTTATATCTTAAGTGAACGTTTGGGGAACTGTTGGGGAAAAACACTGGATGTGTAACATTATATTAGATCTGTGCATTACACCAGCAGTTCCCAAAATCTTCCAATCCACGACCCACCTAGACCAGTATAATCTACTTCAAGACCCACCAAATTATTTGAGATCAAAAATCTATTGACATTACTGGAAGCTTAATCTTAATTAAAAGTTTAATATGGCAGAAATTAAGGATTTAAGAAAAATGACCATTTTATAGTACAACTGTAAAATTTCACTACTAATATTTAGGTTTTAATTTCCTCATTTATAGATGTTAACCCTCAGGTTGTGTTATATTTATTATTACGTCCGTTCAAAAACAGCTTAATCTCTTGCAATATCATCTAATATTGATATCAATCTTTTTGTCAGCTTGTTTTCTTTCCATTAGGACTGGTTGTGTGTTTATTTTTGGAACAGATTTATTGTAGGCCTCATTAATCTGAGTTTACGTACATCCGTTTTTGAGTGAAAAAAGGCATTATTTGTGGATAATTGTCAATAATTAAATATGAACTAAATTTGCACCGTTTAATCTAGGGATGCACTGATACGGATACTGGTATCGGGCCCGATACTGAGCTTCTGTACTCATTCAAATGCCCCGATACCAAACGCCGATACCACACAGACAATATTCAGACAAAGAAACACTGACAACAGAACAACAGACAGCAGAAAGGAGTTATAAGAGATTAAGGATGTCTACGAAGTATATGTATGCAATGAATATAACGTTAAACACTCAGTATTAACGTCTGTATAGCTGGTGTGCGCGAGCTGATAAGCAGAGCACGCTGAGTGGATTGAGCGCACGGCCGCGCAGATGCGCAAGCTTGTCCAGTGAATATACCTTTCTCACAGACATCACTGGAAAGTTTGTAGCTGGGTCGGACACGTCAAAAACAAGTAAAAATGCACAAGTTACTTAGGTAGGGAGAGAGAGCGAGAGCGCACACTTCTGTTGTGTGATCTTTGATGTTCACTCACTTAGCACACGCATCATTTGGATTAAAACTAAATTGTAGAAATAAGACCATTTAATAAGTGACGTGACATGTGGCCAAGTATGGTGACCCATACTCGGAATTAGTGCTCTGCATTTATCCCATCCTAAGTGCACACACACAGCAGTGAACACACACCCGGAGCAGTGGGCAGCCATTTATGCTGCGGGGCCCGGGGAGCAGTTGGGGGTTCGGTGCCTTGCTCAAGGGCACCTCAGTCGTGGTATTGAAGTATCGAAGGTGGAAGAGAGCGCTGTACATTCACTCCCCCCACCTACAATCCCTGCCGGTACGAGACCCGAACCCACAACCTTTGGGTTACGAGTCCGACTCTCTAACCATTAGGCCACGACTTCCACAATAGGGGCATTCACTATAAACATCATTTATTTTTACCCTTAGGCATACACGACTTTCAGGCAAAAGTGAATCTAGCTAGTCTTATTTTAGTAAAATTAACATTCTGCAGATTCTGAAACTTTTGACCGCAACTGTAATTAGTGTAAACAGAAATCAGTGAAATGCTTACCCCAAGAATTATTCTATTTATTGACTTTTTCCAACATGCTGGCTTAAATATGACCGTTTGCATTTAATTTCTGCATTCCAGTATTATAGCAAACTACATTTCTACAAAAGATCACAATTGGTTTATTAAAGCGTTTACTTGGTCCATTGGTGCTTGCACTCTGAATCAAACAACTTTAATTTTAATACCCTTAAAGCTCATCTTTGATCATTAAAATTAAATTTAAAAATTTTTTCCTGTGGAAATGACTTCCTGAATTTAATTATGCACCCTTGCCTTACCCATTTTAAACAAATTACAAATTAGTAATTAATTAATTAGTGGTAATAACAGACCCAAGTGAACAACAGAGTGGTGGAACTATGAGGTCACTTTGTAGGCAAAACCCGGAAGCGAGTTAGTATTTCAGCACTTCCGCTTCCATCGTCCCAGACTCAATGGGACTTCGGTTAAATCCCCTAAAATAAGGTCCGTGGTTCACACAAGCTCAAGACACTTTCACAGTTTATTCTGCAACATACCAGTTACACCCCACTCGTGATTATTTAAAACGGTTACGTTTCTTAAAGATGGTTGCTAACAAGTTGCTAAATGGTTACAGGCGCTGTCGGAGACATTCAACGTCATCACAGTATTTTCCAATTGTAGTATAATTTATAGTGCAATTAATTGTAGAATAACCAATTTTATATTGTTGTTCGACAATGATTTTTTGCTTTGCCCCGAAATGCAACAAGTCTTCAGATGGAAGACGCTCGTTTTACCGAAACACCACATTTACCGGCTCAGTCACGGTGAGTGAAACTTTAACGATGCATAGTGCTTAACCACGTTCAAATGAAATGTTTACGGCCACATGAAGCTGTTAGAAAGCATATGAGGATTTCCTAGAAGCAAGGATAAAACAACGTGTAACAAAGCACACTAAAATAAGTTTAATCTTACCATATCCAAACACTCGCTCACTCTGCTGTTATTTAATAGATTAAATGCACTGGAGTTGTATTAAATAGTAGGTGGAGACACGTTTTTAATTAAAATATTCACATTAATCAAGGATTGGACTTTTAGTGCACCTTATTTCGAAATGTACAGAAATATGTGCTTTCATATGTCCTTTAGTTATGATTATTTCATTTATTCTCTATTCTATTTATTACTAATGTCTCATTTCAGTTTGGCTCTAGTTTTGTATTTATTTCAGTTTATATGAAAAGGTTAATGTAGCGTGGATTAAAGCTCATACACAGAGCAAATCCTTTTCACTGAACGTGTTAAAACTAAGTTTGAAAAGTTGTCGGGAGCGTGTTGTGGCGATGCTGAAGGCGTCCGTTTATAGCCTAAGTTTAGCTTTTAAGTTCTGATGCTTTTCTTTGGAAAACTGGACCAAAGCAATGTCATACTTTTTACTGCACTGCATTTCATAAATAAGTTGTTTTTTTTTTTTTTTTACCTTTAATTCTTAAAAACATTAGAAATGTAGTACTTTCTTGTACTCCAGTAAATCTTTCAATTACTTTTACTTGAGTAAAAGAAAGTACTACATTTCTAATGTAATTAAGTATTAAATTCAATTCAATATGAAATGCAGTGCAGTGCAGTAAAAAGTGCAATGCTTTGGAGTGTTGTGAAGTAAAGTTTTCTAAAGAAAAGCACTCTGATAAAGCACACACTTGAAAAGTATTTTTAAAAGCAGAGTAGATACAATCGCCTCTGAATATAACTAATGTATATTATAGGGCTGCACGATTAATCGAATGTGATCATCATGCACATTTAGTCAGTAAAGCTGGTTCTGTAATCGGCAGGAGATCATCATCACCTGCTTTCAGACGGAGCAGCATTTACTACACAGAGCCGTAGCTCACGGACAAGCTACGCAAACAAAAATTCAGACGATTTTATTGCACGATTCTGAAATTGAAGAAATCGTTGGCGATAATGACAGCTGTTTGCGTAGCTTCTCAGTGAACTACGGCTCTGTGTAGTAAATGCTGCTCTATCTGAAAGCATGTGAAAATACCACATTTAATAACATGTTTTTACTCCAAACTCACTTCATAACGTCAGTCGAGTGTTTGAAGTAAATCCTTCTGTGAGAGGATGTGGCTTCTTACACAGAATAAGACACGCGACATATTTCATAGTATTTAAGCAGCGATAAAGGCATTGCATTATAAATATACTTTATTTTAATGAAAATTATAATAATAAGCACTCAGATAAACCGTATATTGCCGTAGTCGTGTGTTTATTAGTCACGCTGAATCAATGAAAGCAGTTGAATCTGGTTTATTCAGCCGCAGCGATAGCCATTTTCTGGGTTTCTTCTGCGAGGCGTATTTGGAGTTTCTCTGGCCTTCGGATGGAGATTTACTGCTGATCACAGAACCGTGCTTCACTGAAAGATACGCACGACAATCACAGCTAATATCTGGACATTTCTTTACGACAGAAAAGCTACGGTCACTGTCATTTCTTGAATATGTGGACATTAAACATGCAAACTCAGAGCGAGGGCTTGAACGTTTATTTTGAAATCGTGATGAGCAGTTAGCATATTTAAAGATATTGATGCATTCTCATGAGTTGGCAAAGGCTCGTGAATGATTTACATCACAAATCTGATGCAAGGCCTCACAGGTTCCCAGATGAACATTATATACTCAAACCAAACTCACAGCATCTGCGGCGATATAGCTCGAGTCGCTAACAGTTTGTGCCGAGCGACACGAACACAACACACATGCATGTAAATAATTACAATGCATGTTTCATTGAATCGTAGCCTTTGTGAATTAACAACAGCGTTATGCTTTATAACTTCTAAATGGGATTAATTTATCGTGCAGTCTCAGAAAATTGTCTAATAATGCGTTTCATAAGTTCTCGTGTGTGGGATTTACAATCGAGGATTTTTCAACATTTAGAGAAGAACACAACTTTCTTGTCAAGTTAGTTTAAATGAGATGACACACTGTGGTACAGCATCCGGGTAGAAAGCTTCTCCGGGGATATTTGGAGCCACTGTAAGCTTACCTCTCTGTGTTCAGACGCCATGATGGTCAACACGTGTCTCTGTCAACTATTTAAAGCCAATTTCAGAAGAACCGGAAGTTACGTCACCTAATGATGGGAGCAACGAACCTTTTCGAAGCTTCGAATCAATTGAACCAGTTGCTTCACAAAACGATTCAGTGATTCGAAGCGCTGGAAACAGCACTAGTGCCGCCTGCTGGTCAGAAGCGTGTCAACGCAACACAAACTCAGCTAAAACAAGCATACAAACTGCTTTTACAAACACATTGCACATGTTTTATTGAAAGTAGAATACATTAAATGCAATACCAATACTAAAATACTATTAAATATGAAGTGTCTGTATATATGTGGTTTTCAAAATAGTTTATATTAATTTGCAGGGTTTTGTTGTTTGTGTTTTATGGACAGCTTCTATTATAGACATATGTTTTGTTTTCCAAGCTGCTGTTTTATCAAATATGAAGAAATTAATTTGTAGCTTATTTAAAAAAATTTGACACTTACAATTAAAAAAAGATTAAAATGGAAAAAAAAACACAGATTTTAAGATTTAATATGGCGCTACATTAAAATTTAAAAAATGAAATCACTCATCAATAGAAAAAACTGATTTATGCCTATTTTGAGTCGACTTGATTATTGCAGTGCATTTTTACTGTCCTTATGCAAAAAACAAACAAACAATACACAACTGAGAGACTTGTTTAGAATTATTTATTGGTTTTGTTTTTATGCATTTAAAGTTTAACATCATTATAAAGTGGGTCTCAGCTTTAATCTGTTATATTAACTATGATATTTTACCTGATGGTTTTTGTAATGCTTTTTTAATGTAAAGCAGTATGAGCTCCATTCCTTGTATGAAAAGTTCACTTTAGACTGAAACACTGCAGTTAATGTGACTTCCAAATCATTAACACAACTGTGCTGCTCGTCTACATTATACTTTACTCTGCAATTCCTTTACGATCAGCACACAAGTTTAAATGTTTTACAAACAGCTTTATCTATACATATCGACATAAAGTCAGTCAAAATCACTCCAGAAATCAAAGTGCATTCATTTACACCATGTCCCATTTTTAAACACTCAATCTTTCTTTTATAGGAAGTGACCTGATTATTACTCTATTAATACAATCACAGTACTGAGCAGTGGATCAGGGTCACAGATTTTTATAGTAGGCCGATTACAGAGAGCAAAAACTGTTTGAATAAAAGATAGGCATACACACAGAATCAGTTTAAAACAGCATTTTATCTTTGTAGACGCCAAAAACAATACTAAAACCAGTGGAAATTAAACGTGCTTGCGGCAATGATAATACTCAAACATATCAGAAGCCCAGCTTTGCTAGTGATGGAGAAATTAATCAGTTACAAACTCTGAAGCAATTGCTTCACAAAACGAGTCCATGAAGCACTGGAAACACCACACGCTGTAGAAAAGCAGCTTTTACAAACAAATCCAAATGTGTTATTGGGAGTGTAATCTACTAAATCCAATTAACTAATCATTTAATTCCATTACACATGAAGGGTCCATATATGTGCTTTTTATTGGCATGTGAAATTGTAGCACAAATAAGTGCTTTTAACAAGTTATCACCTGAATATATTAATAACAGTTGAGACTGAAGATGAATAAATGCATGAAATAAAACACAGATGTGATGAAGAGCAAGTTCCAGTGGAATCTCTTCACAATCCTCTGAAGCATTCAGTCCATCATTCTGGTGATCGAGCAGCAGTTTCTCTGCAGATGAGGATTAAATAAGGGGTGTATTGGCCGTCTGTAGCTTAAAAAAAAAAAAAAAAAAAAGGAACAAACACAGAACTGGAATAAAAAGCAGATAGAGAGCAATGAACCAAAGACAAGAGACACCAGCAGGAGAACAGAGAACAAGACCATGATCATCAGCAATAACAAAATAAAGACAACTGAACTGAAAACATGAACAAATCTAGACCGATGTGACACTTATGAACATGCAGAAAAGAAAAGCCCACAAACACACACAACAAATGAACAAGTGTGGCAGCTTTCCAATTCTCCCTCAGCATGGCAAGTTCCTGATAACGTGGCAATATCCAATTCTGTAGAACAA